ACTATTTTAAATTTTACAATCTCTTCGATTAATTAAGATTCATCAATTTTCAAATTAGATTCAATTTTCTAAGAAACTAAACGTTCTTTTTATTAATTGTAAAATAAAATCTATAAGAAACGTAAATAAAAATTTTAATTTTTAATCAAATTATATCTAACATTAAATAATAGTAGTCTCACTGGTAGTAGACTAAATTTTGATAATAATTCTTGCAGGAAACAATATAATCCTCAATATATTCCCTGACATATCGCGCAAAAATATGATATATTGTGACCAGGTTATGAGCAGTAATAGTTATTAAAGTTTTCATATTTCATAGCGAATTGATGTCATCTGGAATACTTTACAGACTATATCGAACGATGTTTCAACCTTGACGACATAATCGTCTAAAATATACCTATTATTCGAAGTAACTTCGTTTGCAATGAAGTACCTAATATGTGAATGATATTTTATGCTTGCGGACAAACGTACCGTACATCTGCCAGAAAATTTCTTGCGCGTCAAAGTAAAAAACTATATTTTGTTAATGGTACACATATATGTAAAAGATAGATTTTTAATACAGTTTCTGAGGAAACATTATTATATTATAATATAGGAATAACTACATCCGTAGTTATTATTATATTGTGCGCGATTACTATTGCGAATAATTAAAGTTAACAAAACTGTAAGTAAAGTTAAGTTTAACTGTAAGTAAAGTTTACTTAACATTTTAATTAACCGTTTGTTACACAATACGCGTTGTGAACACGTTTTATTGCGTCTATTTATGTACTTATCACATCCATCGACGTAAAACAAAGATATTTGCTTCGACATTAATGCGAGATATATGAGAGAAACACGATGTAAAAAATAATAAAAACATATATATATTTTTTTTTCTATTCATGAAAATTGTGCTATAGAATTATATTATTATAATAAATCTTCGAGAGAGATTTATATAACAAGTCAGAAAAACCAATTATTTTCAAACTTACCAAGTAAAAATTAATTTTCAATTAACAATCTTTTCGTCAAAGTTAAATTCCTTGAAAATGTATATTTCCCTTGATCGACGATTTCGTTGATAATCAATTTAACGCCACATACAATGAAAGAAATTTCACGCCTATAAAGGATTCGGGTTTGTATATCATGAAATTCTAAAGTCACAAAAGTTTCTTTAAGTAATCCCTCATTACGATGTGTAAATGATCAACCCGAGATCGGTATGTACATCATATACAAAATAGTATCACGCTATTGAGTTCCTTGAATTCTCGGTTTTTTTATTCTTTATTCGTGGTAATTTTACCACGACGACGAAATTTCAATACATATGAATTAACAATGTGAGATCTGATAGATCTTCATATTAATATCACAACAAAGTTAAAGCTGGATTATATTAGTCGCATTCAGCAGTGTGGGCTACTAAATGCGATACAAGATAGTTCTTTTTGATCTGGTTTCACCGATATGCCATACTCGATCATGAATTTCTAACATCGCGGTATATGCTCTTTGAAAAAAGTAGCTCATTGAACAGACATACGCGTTGAATGGATATACGCGTAACACGTGTGCGTTACATAAAGTAGGCTTCGTATTATAGGGTCAAACTACGCTATTGAGTTTGCGTATCGCGAATACTCGATTAGCTACGTCGCGTTAAAGTGAACAAAATCTTGTTGAACTACGCGGTAATCTGCATTTTTAAACGCTTAAATAATTTGATGTCACACATGTCGACATGGGGAGATGGGTGACTAGTTTAGGATGGAAACCACAGAGAGATACATTGTGAGATAAAAAATGCAAAAATTAAAACAGCACTTTTTTTTTAATAAGATGATCTAATATTAGTTTGTTCCATCTTGTTTACATTATATAATTTTGCTTCAAACAGTATTCTGTAATCGCAATAATTAATTCCTGCAGTAATTCGCCAAAAAATCACTGAAATATTAATCAGTGATTAATTATTGGTATTTTTCTCAGTGATTACCATGAGTAATACTTTTCTTGCAACTAGTAATCCCGAAATCAATAGAACATTAATGATACAAACGAGAAAAACTTACTCATGTATTCAATTTTCAAAGAGCGTTTATAAATATGCTATGCTTTGGCTATAAGCTATTTTGTACATCCGACTAACATGATACACAAGCAAGTTATACTATAAATAAGAATATAATAACGTGTTTAGCGAGAATATAGCTAATGAACGTAGTATAGTACATTTACAAATAGTTTGAAAAGCGTCCGTTTTAGCGATCTTAATCTTGAAAATGAACTATATGAGCGACTCGAGTGACTCTAAAGTGGATAAGCTGTAGAGTGGAAGTGGATACACGTCAAACTACGCGTAAATTAGTAGCAAGATTTGACGTTTTACTATTTCAACGAATCATTTGAAAAAAATTGTAAAAAAGCTGGAGGATAAATGGGTTTCATATGAATTAAACGAGCGTCAGAAGAGAAGTCATCTCGCGCTTTTTTTGCTGTCATTTCGACATCGTATTGTTACGTGTGTGTGATGAAAAGTAGATTCTTTTCGACAATCGCAAGCATTCGGCACAATGGTCGGATGAAAAGATGAAGAAGCCGAAACACAAAAGTCCGAATATTCCACAAAAAAGCTAATAGCTAATGTCTATTTGGTGGTCCAGCGCTGATATAATTCACTATAGCATTTCATAAAATCTGGTCAATCGATTAGTCAACGGATGTCTATTGCAACCAATTAGAAACGAAATGATGAGGGAGCTTGTGAGTAAGCAGCTGAGATTGGTCAATAGAGACAACTTCAGGCCAAATGTCCTCTTGCAAGACAACGCTCGATCACATATTGCACAAACAACGCTGCTGCAGCAAATTACAGACACTGCTGGATTTAGAAACACTCTCTGTCACCTACCGTATTCACCGAACCACCTTGACCACCACCAACTGACTACTTGACTTTTTCCAAGTATTGAACCACTTCTTACAAGGAAAAATATTAAATCCTTAACAAATGTTGTGTGGAAAACATCTTTCGCGATTTCATTGCTACTCCAGACTTTTTCCAGACTTCTTCGCTGTCGGACGATAAACAAGCTACCGTTACGACAGACACAAAACTGTGTCGATAGTTTAGGTGCATACTTTGATTTTTAATTGTACTGCTTCTTCTTTGAGATATAATGAATCAAATTCTTGATTCGAAATCGGACATTTCATATTTAATGACTTAATACAATGATGACTATATATTGAACTACCCACCCATTGTGAAATAAATTTATACGTATAAATTTATAAACGCGAAAAAAGCGCACGTTGTTTGTGGATTCGATCCAATAATAGTGTAATGTCGCATTCATGGACAACGAGCAAATATCAAAATTAGAAAAGAAAAGATTGTTCGTTTATGTTGTTATTTTAGAGTAGAAACAAATGCGTTAAAAAAAAAAGATGAATAAGAAATTCAAAATTTTCTTTTAATGAATAAAAGGACAGACGATCTCTCGGAACTATTACCTACTGGCCCTACTGATTACTGGATTGCGGACAAAAACGGTTCATACCGAGTTTCTCAGTGAGCAACGTGGTAGCAACGTGCTCACAACACGGCTACGTTACATTCAGGCTATCTCCCGGAAGTACGGTGAGATTAATGTTACAAGAAGAAAAACGCGCTCTTTCACGACGAATTGTGAATGCAATGCAATGGGCCGTACTTGCAGAAGCCGTACTTGCATTTTTCACAAGCGGACGGCTTTGCTGGAGAATTTTCTTTATCCGAGAATGATAACGATTTAATGACTTTTGTATCAACGTATATAATTATTTTGTTGTGTGACCGCTCACAACTGATAACAAGGTGCAATCTGTGCGATTCGCTAAAAAAATTATAAATCGCAGAATTGTATACCGCAGATAGAAGCTATTATCCGAACGATTTGGGATAAAAATCTCCAAAATACTAAAAATAAATATTTTTGGTAATCGTTCAATAATACACTAGAATATACATCTCTATTCTCCTTTAACTTATACTTATACTGCTATTTTCTTATATTAATTATTTGTTTCAATGGTTTTCGTTGTTAATGTCATTAATGTTCATTCTAAGCTTAAGTAAAAGACACACGTCCTCCTAATTAGTCGATTTTTACATTTTATTTTATTTCCATTTTCTACGTTTCATGAATTTAAAACAAGAATAGAGTAGTGTTCTATTTGACTATAAAATATAAAAAGTTGGACACAAATATAGATAAATATAAAAGATACGTACACGGAAGAATTGCGATGTGAAAAGCTCGTGCGCGGCAATTTAAATCGCGCTGCGCAACACAATTCAGTTCAATGAGTTAATTTATATTGTACCTCATCGGTCTTCCGCAATATATATCTTCTCGCAATGTAATGTTTGAGAAAGTTATTCGCCTAATAATTGTTTCTTTCAATCGACATTCGGAAGAATTCATTCTTTCATGAAATTGGATACTTATAAATTTGCAACTGCCCGGCAGTAGCATAGTTAGTTTCATATACGTATAATTTTTTAAACGTATTACGAATGTTTATTATGAAACGCGTTACATGCGCTTAAAGAACGTATGTGAAACCAACAATTACGTGTTACTTGGGTGGTGATTAATTTCAATATTTTTCAATTCGTTCTATGCCTCATTAAATATGTTAACGTATAAATATCCAGCAGTGTAAATGACAAAATGTTGAATGTGTGAAATTTGTTGCTTAATTTGTTTTCAACATTACTTTTTCTCTTTTTCGCCTATACAGAGAGAGAGAATAATAATCAATTAAATTTGAACGAAAAAAAGAATTCAAAAATCACGGCCAATTTAACCAAATTTCGAAGAATACAAATTCTTGTAATGTCGCATGCCTGATATGTGTATCGTTTCTTTTAATTTATATATTTCTCGTGAGTGGTGGTAGACTTGCCATGTTTCTGATGAAATGAAAATAACATGACTTACCTGGAATGAAGTATCTTCAGTTTCTTACGGGAATCAAATTATATTCGCCGTCAGCGTACGTAGTTTCTCGTGAAGTACAAAACTTGACTCGTGAAGTACAAAACTTCTTCGTTTTCGCGAGAAACGAAGGTCGCAACGCAAGTGAGGAAAGATGCGCCGTGAAAGCGTCGCGAAATTGACAGAATCGCCTGGTCACATTTTAACGAAACGTGTGTGATCGCGCGCGCGATCATGAATGGCAACGAGTGCCGCGCGAAAAACCGTGACGAGAGCTTCGCTCTCACGCACGTCCGACGTCGCGTACGTTGTGCGTCGTGCGAATGTCGCGCGACTCTACGCGCTGCGGCGCGACCAGGCACGACTCGCGTCGTCGCCCCGGCATCGCGCCCCGGTTGTCACGTACACAACAACAAGCCTCCAAGCAACCAATCCGAGGCGCCGGTCGACACAATGAATGGCCAATCGCGCGCTTCTTCGATACTCATTGCATGCATTTCTCTTAGATCTATTACACATTTCCTTATTTATAAATTTTGGGATCATGTATGACATGAAATATATACAATATTGACGACACAATGAAAAGCATTATTTAGCACTATTTTATTTTGTATCATGACAATTAATCCCTATATGGCGGGCAACGTGGCAACGTAAAACGAACACCATATATCAAGTATACAAGAAAAACAAATAATAAAATCAAAATTGAATCAAGCAACCGGCTCAGGATAGATCTCTCCGGATAGATCTATCTCAAACTACAAGAATGTAGAATGACGAATGAAATTCATGCAAATATCCAGATGATGTCAGACAGAGATAGGTTGTCAGGAAAATCTGTGAAAAGAAATCGAGGACGTTTATGTGGGCGATTCCTCCGATGTAAAGAACTGAAATTGGGATGTCTCATGATGATATGAAATCTGTTAATGGAAAATATATTATTAAAAATGTTATGTAAATATATTACGATAGAACTACGTAGTCTCACGCATATAAAATAATAAGGAATCGGTAAAGTTCGGCGGCTGTTAGTGGTCTGTGTAACGCGTAATCAGGTATAAATAAATAACAATAGTAATAATAATAATACAAAAGGGTACCAAAAGCTGGAAGATATAACGTCTATTTATATATATCGCTGTGGATTGCAGAAGGAAATTATCACACACAGAACGCAAGCGTTATATGGAATACCAAAGTCTTTCTTCTGTCGATTTCATTTATGACTCATGTTTAAAGTTCGGATAGAATGGCTCGCGTCCATAGAAACTCTGCGAAAATCGCACGGATAATCAGCAACAATAGGTTCAGTATTCAGAGCAAATTTGCGATCAACAATAACAATAGGAATCCCATTGCATATATATGTTCTATAAGAACAACACTCATATTCGATATATAGCAACAATTGTTGTAGAATTCTTGTCTGTTAGTAAAAAAAATCTCGAAATTGAATCTCCAGATGGCGAGGAGATTCGTGTGTCCTTCCGGAAATTGATGATCTAACCGCGATTCTTCCTTTTGTTTAAGTTGTAACCAATTTTCGACCGAGTCGAATTGAAGATATATGAGATGGATCAATCGTTCTGTTATATTCTTTTCATGATTTGCGCTGGAAAAACTGGTTATTATCACTTTTAGTCGTTAATTAACTTTTTTACAAAAAATTGTCAAACGGAAAACAACTGAAAGAATCAAGGGACCCATAATAATTTAAAATATCGGCAGAAATGTAAATTAAATTATGAATGTTGTAAATTAATGTTTCTTTGCTGTAAAATAGTTATCCATGAAGTAAATCATAAAATTTTGAGCAATCATACATTGGTTATATTGTGTACGCATTCTTTCGGATCATAAAGAATTTTAACGGCACAGTTGAGAACATTATAATGTAAGAAATGAGGTTTTCTTAAAAAATAAAATTGAAGAACCACGGAGTCCAAATGACAACAATAATCGCAACACTCTGTCGCTTTCCACTGGACAATTTCTTCGAAAAAAAAATGCAGACTTTCGACACACAGCCGAAAAGAAGTATGCTTCTCGCTATCGCAGTTCTCATAATTGTTAACGGACAGGAATAAGCTTCAGAAATAAGCCCTTTTCCGTTATACAGTACTTCAGTCTACCTCCCTTTTGGTACCATGTTCATTCAAGTTCACACAAAAATAATTAATTCTTCTCACTATTTTGCAAATTTTGCAGAGTGGCAACATGACTTTTCTGCTCAGTTTCACCCGTTCTACCTCCGTGTATATCACGGAAGAGGAAACTGAGGACGCGATTTGGAACTCACTCTGTATAAGTAAATTTAATAAAAAATGTTCCAAGTTACAATAGATTAAAATTATATAAAAAAAATTATTAAATTCAAGAAAATTTACATTATAAAGTTTTTAAATTTAGAAATTTGCAAATGAATTGTAATATGTTTCTTTATGTTATTTATACTTTTTTAAAATTTAAAATACTTAAATTTAAATTACTTAAAAGTTTATATTCATTCTGTTCACTTAATTAATAAATATATATATATATATATATATCTACCTTGAGAGGAAGAGGGGGAGAGGAGGAGAGAGAGAGAGAGAGAGAGAGAGAGAGAGAGAGAGAGAATCCTGGATGCTCGTTCGTTTTACCATTTGTTTTAATTTCTTGTAATACCTCTACTTGTATTATTGGCTCTGCATAGAATTAAAAATCGTTTTGCACGATTGCAATACAAACACGTTAATAGGTAGGTAGGAGGACGGAGTGAATTTTATTCGAAAAACAAAAAAAGTTTTATAACTTGCTAACCCTTTTTTTTTTATAAAGTCAGCTGTCCTCATGTCTGTATTAACGTCTGTGTATTGTAATTGTGCAAAAAAGGATTTTTAATTCTGGGCGGTCAGTACATGACCAGTGAATATAGTATATTAGCGAATTTTTTATAAAACTGGGCTCCAGAATCCTCTTAAAAATTGTGTTTAAAATAAAGAAAGAGTTTACAATATAATACGTATACGTTTTCACTGTTAATGTTGAAAAACTATAATAAATATAAATTGTTTCAATAATTTTAATATATATATTATTAAGTGCCCTTATATATACAAAAGACATTTGCAGATAAATTAAACATATCTATTAAATATTAAAATATAATTCGGCGTTGCACTTAACAAAGCTATTTGAATTGAAACAACTGATGTTTCAATAACTTTTTGCCTGATGATTTTAATATAACACACACGCAATACAACAAAAGCGCTATATATAAAATGGCATTAAAATATTATCGTAACTTTTGGACTTATAAAATAAATGGAAACTAATATAAATCTAGAATAATTAAAAATTTTCAATGAATTATACGCATCTTTCTCCTAGAACTCTTGAAGAAAAATTTATCTTATTTTTATATAAAATTACCAGACCTAAAGTAAACTTACACGTTTACACAATAGCAATTTTATATATGGATATATATGTGCATTCATTATAAATATACTATTAAGAGTGTGACTCTTTCACCAAACTCTGACCAAATATAATCGACGAATATTACAACTCAGTTGGTGACGGTTAGTCAATTCCGTTGAGTTCTGGATCTTTGTCTCTCTATTAAAAATCACCCTAAATTATCTGCGCTATGCGTGCGTGTCACAGGACGCGAGTTAAATGTTTTATTTCTTATAAATCATATTGATTATATACATGACATAATCCTTGTACATTATGTTTCTTTAACGATCTTGACTGCATCATTCATTATACAATCTTAATTGTAATCATATACAATCATACAGAATTGGAAGCTTGTCTTGACTTATCGTTCCTGATGTTATATAATTTGACCACAAGAGCAGTAAATCAAAAACCTTAAAGATGAAATTTATATATTGAACTTTATTTTATGTTTGTGGATTTTATTTATGTTACCCTGATAGCCTATCGCTTAAGTCACATCTGATATAACGAAAAGATATACATATTTTACAGCTATGAACAGTAACTTATAAATTGCTTCGATAAGTTTGTGAGAAACTACAGTGAGATATATTGTGATATATATTACGATCGGGTATGAATAGCAAATAAACAAAGGCAAAAAAGAACAGATTAAAATAAAAATTACTTCTTATTCACATAGCTGAGAGAATAAGATTATAAACTGAGAATATCTTCCATATAGATTATTACAGGATTTGTATACATATTATTTTTGTTCATCATAATAGAATATACTAATGACTAGACATCATGTCATGTTGCTATTTGTACTTGTATCACATAAAGGCATATAGCTGTAGGTATAGGTTCTTGATCATTTTGCGTTTTTTCAGCAAGTTGCATTGCATCAAGAACAACGTGAAAAAAAACGTTCAAATAGCAACGTTCCGTTGCAAGTACAATCTATATGTTTATATATTTCTTTTTTTTTCTATCACGTATTACAATATAGAAAATTTTGATACGTGTGACACATGTGTGTTTCTTAAACCGCGATTAGCAATTATTATAATATTAATTGATAGATTGCGAATATTTGTGTAAATATATGTTTTTGTAGAAAACAGAAGAAAAGCGCGAGAGAAAAGACAAAATATTAATTTTATTTTTAGCTTTTCTCTTACAGATTTTAGATAGTAATAAGAGATATTGTGTTGTGGTTATAGAAAGTAAAAAGCAGTATGAAATATCAAAACAAATAATAGTGAAATTTGTGTCAAAATAATTAATAAATAATAGAAATAAAAAAGTTATTAATGTAATATGTTGGGTTTGCAGGTAACATATTTATACCTAAATAATAAATTTACATATTTCGATAGCAATGACAAAAAAGTAAAAATGAACTCCTTAAATGTTTTATCATACAGTACAGAAATTTTTAAAAGATTTTTTGTAATTTTCTTTCTACAATAATCTGTAATAAATCCACGCTATGTAATGTTACCTGCAAACCCAACATATTACATTAATAA